TCTAAATTTTTTTCGTTCAAAAACATGAACGGTATTTCGATATTATCATCATCGAAATCACTAGCGATTTCTTCTTCTTCTTCTTCCTGATTTCGTTCTTCCGCTTGATACCGTTCCATTTGTTCATAATAATCATATTCATGAAGTTCGCTTACCCGATAAGCTTCACGATCTTTATCATCAATTTCCATCAAATGTTCACTCGTTGATGGCTCTTCCTCCATCAAATGTTCACTCGTTGATGTCTCTTCCTCCATCTCAATTGCACTCGTTGATGGAACGGCATCGGTCCCAATTGGACTCGTTGATGGAACGGCATCGGTCCCAATTGAACTCGTTGATGGATCATCGATACTCATTCGAGACGAATCTTCTTTTGCACCATGCCTTGCGGTTTTTCGGATGTCCCTATTGATTGAAAAATTATTTATATAAAGAATAAAAATAATTAACAATATTTGGATACTTACTCAAAATAATTTTTATGATGATTATTCATATGATTCATAAATTGTTTGCGGTTTGAGAAATTGATAATTTTTCCAATCGGTACACCTTTTTCGCAGACAAAACATTTTGGCCCCACATCCGTTGGATGTTTTGTTTTTTTTTCAAATGCATCAATATCCTCCAGCATTTTCTTATATTCGGGATCTTGGGCTGAAGCTACTGCAGTCGGAAGTCTTTTCATTTTTGTTTCGATTGATTTCAAAAATTCACGAATAATTACAATTTTAATATGGAATTGGTGTTAATTCAAATGATCGAGTGAATTACATGCATCGCAATTTTTATATGAAATTTTTGAACTAAAATAACCTTTGAACAGAATCATTCGATTTCTGCATAAATCCATGGATAAAATGGTTTTATATCTGGCAATTATCACTGAACTTTTTAAAATAAACATCGAAAAAAACATTCGATATAACCTTTGAACAAATCATTCGATTTCTGAATAAAATGGTACCATATCTGGCAATTATCACCAAACTTTTTAAAATAAACATCGAAAAAAACATTCGATATAACCTTTGAACAAATCATTCGATTTCTGAATAAAATGGTACCATATCTGGCAATTATCACCAAACTTTTTAAAATAAACATCGAAAAAAACATTCGATATAACCATTGAACAAATCATTCGATTTCTGCAGAAGATGGTACCATATCTGGCAATTATCACCAAACTTTTTAAAATAAACATCGAAAAAAACATTCGATATAACCTTTGAACAAATCATTCGATTTCTGAATAAAATGGTACCATATCTGGCAATTATCACCAAACTTTTAAGACCAAATAAACATCGAAAAAAACATTCGATATAACCATTGAACAAATCATTCGATTTCTGCAGAAGATGGTACCATATCTGGCAATTATCACCAAACTTTTAAGACCAAATAAACATCGAAAAAAACATTCGATATAACCTTTGAACAAATCATTCGATTTCTGAATAAAATGGTACCATATCTGGCAATTATCACAAAACTTTTTAAAATAAACATCGAAAAAAACATTCGATATAACCTTTGAACAAATCATTCGATTTCTGAATAAAATGGTACCATATCTGGCAATTATCACAAAACTTTTTAAAATAAACATCGAAAAAAACATTCAATTTGATATAAAAGCTGATCAGAAAATTTCGATTTTTTCATATTCATCAAATCGTTAATACATTCAACATCAAAAAAAATATTTTGTTTTTGTTCGCCAAAATTTTGTTGCTTTGCTAATAAATAAAATCTTAAAACACTTGGTTTCCAAGAAAATTTATAAATGTGAGTAATTTCGAAATTCAAAAATTCTATTTACATATCATTTAAAATTTTATTTAAATATCATTTAAATTATATGAAACAAATGCACCTCTCATTTTTTTGATTTGTTTGACAATGAATCGAATTATTATTATGATAATAATAATTATCAATAAACCTATGCCGACGTAAACAATGGTGTCCCATCCGTTTGCACTATTTAGTTTAATTTGATCATTATTATCTTGAATTCTTTCTTTTGAAGAAAATGTATCGAATTCTTGCATAAATTTTTTGAAAAATTCTTTATCATCATTATCCTAAAATTATTGATAGATAAAATCAAAAAAAGGTAAAATTTTGAATTTAGAAAAAGGATTTACTTACATCATTCATCTTGAATGAAGTAAAGAATGAAAGAATGAACGATTGCGAAAACGATGACGAATGAATGATGACGAATTAACCAATGAAAGAATGAACGATTGCGAAAAACGATGTCGAATCAACGATGACAAAATAACGAATGAAAGAATGGCCAATGATGACACAATAGAAATTATTGTAGGCTTTTCGATTTTCGATTTCTTTTATTTTTATAAGCTTTTCGTTTTTACGTATGCATCGTGATCCAATGTCCCTAAACTTTTCATAAATTATGTTACGATTTTTTAAAATTTGTTCAGGATTCATTGAAATTTTTCATTGATTTATTTTTTAAAATCTCTTTTTTAGATAATCTTAAGAATTAATTACAATATTACTTATAATGGCTAAAAAATTTAAATTGAATCGAGAATCTCGAGATCAAATCGAATCAATCCATAACAACCTTTTGGAAATGCAAAATGAAATACTTTTGGATCCTTCAAATGTTTCGCTCAATGATATCCGAATAAGGTTGATAGGTTATAGAGATGATTTAGACAAAATAATGTTGAATTTCGATGAACGGAAAAAATTGGGTATAACCACGTTAGTCGAGATAGAAAAAGTTACTTTATGTCATATTATGATCGATAATCTGTGGTATTTGAAAATTTCTGAAGAGCATCGGGTTCAAACAATGTCATGAATTAAGTTTTATTGTGAATTATCAATTCGATCAATGTTTTAACAATGTGAATCTATCAAATTTATCATAATAATCCAGTTAAAAATTATTCAAATAATAAAATATTCTAAACCACGAGTTATAACCATTTCAAATTTATTTTCTTCTTTTAGATCTACAAATTAAAAATGAAATTAATACTCATAAAGAAAATGATTTTGTGGATCGTTCTTTGCTTGGTTAGCAAGCAAAAAACCGATTGCCAATTGGTTGCCACTTCATTCCCTATTTTGTGGAGAAAAACTAAGCATAATGTGGCAAGAAATTATGTGCAAGCGGAAGTTAATATCAATCTCCGAACACCGTGTTTGGTATTCAATGCAACCAATTTCACCATCAGTGCGGATGAATATTATGAATGTGGTTATTCATATAAAAAGCATATTTTGGATCCTTTAAAAAAAAAATGTAATTTATCATCAAAAAAATCAAAAAAATCAAAAAGAGGAGTCATTAGCTTTGTGCTCGGAGCGATAACTGCAGTTGTTTTTTTGATAGGAGTTATCGGTTACTTTTTTCATGGTCAATCGGATCAGATTAAAGATGTGATTGAACTGCAGAAATTCGACAATAAAATCCATCAAGAAATGGTCGAAAAATTTAAAAATGTCAAACAAGAATTCGAACGAATGGAACATGCGATACAGGTCAACAAAATCATGTCTGTTTTGCATTCACAATTCCAGAATAACGAGTTCTTGATAAATGATGTTTTCGCCCGGTCACACAATCAAGTTATTCCTCCTTCATTTCATCAACTTTTTCCCAATATTTCCCTTTGTCCCAACTGCACCACCGATGATTGGCATCTTGATTTTTGTCAATACATCCCCATACCTTCTATTATTTCACCCACCCTTTTCTTCAAAATTAACGCATATGAGGTCGACCCAAAATATCAAATTTTGCGTGCCGACCCATTTACAATATTAATTCCCGATCCCCAAAATTTAGAAAATTTATGTTTTTCAAAATTTGATGGTCAACAGTTTTCATTGCTTAATCTGGAAACCAAATGCATAAAAAATATCGCTTACAATCCGGTTGAAGATCATGACAGCCCAATTATATATCATTCTGAAGGCTGCCATGATTTTCATTCCAAACCAATTTGGAAAATAACAAAATGTATGCCGAAGCATTTGATAATACCGGAAAACATCGTCCAGATTAAGCACGATGAAGACTTCATTTATTTTTACTGTTACACTCAAAATGTAACCTTATTCGGCGTTCAACAACAATGTAAAAATAAAGTATATCAGATTGAAAAAGATCAAGATCTGACGATCAACAACATGACCACCAAATTCATGAAAATCAATATTCAAACATCATCATTCATCCAAACAGATATAAACCAACTAATCAACAATGTAAAATTTCAAAATTTTGATGATTCCATAAATTTAGAAAGGCTAGATTCTTTGGTTCAAACAGAACACGAAATGATCGAAAGAATGGCTGAAAATATATTTAGTTATCATCAAACGAAATTGATTGTTATTGGTTTTATATCTTTCATAATCATTATGTGTATAATTATTTTTTTATTTGCTTATTATTTGATAAGAATGAGAAATTTTCAACGAGTTGCAAGAGAACAATATCAACTTGCAACAATTCGTTCTCATCGAATACGCGAATAAAATTATTCCAAAAATACATTAATAACATTGAACACATTTTTTAATTTAAATTTCATTTCATTTTTATTTATTAAAATCGATATTTTTTGTTCAATTTCTTTCAATGATTGATTGGTCTGATTGAGCCTTTGAATTTATTTTTTGAATATGAATATTTAGCCCAAACATCCATTAAGACCGTTGGATAAGACAACAAAAATAATATATACTTAATAAATAGGAATTTAGGTTGAGCGGTAATCGGCCGGACTAAAAAATGAGTTTGGTTAATGGCGATCTCATGTTAATAACGGTGAAACCTATGGAAATCAATGGAAACCAATGAGTGGCGGGCTCGAATCCTGGCGGAAGCACATTTCAAGATGAATATTTTCTGAACAGGAATCAATTGAATATGCGAATTTAACTTAAAGAAAAAAAACAATAATTTAAAAAAATCAAAAAAAATTGAAAAAAGATGCCAAAAAATCAGAATAATGAAAATAAAAGCAGAATGAGGAAATAGAAAAAAAAGAATCAGAAAAAAAAAGAATCAGAAAAAAAAAGAATCAGAAAAAAAAGAATCAGAAAAAAAGGATCAGAAAAAAAAGGATCAGAAAAAAAGGATCAGAAAAAAA